TTTAAATTCCAAATGCAGGTATTGTTAGGTATTTCAATTTTCTAGGTCAATCATTAGCTTCCTTCAAACTCTAATGTTTAGATTTCTAAAAACAAACAAGAAAAACCAGCTGCCTTTTGTTATTTTGGTCTTCTGTCTTAATTGAATATTGTTTGTCTATTAATGAAGTATCCCTTGTCTTGATTTTACAAAGACTACAAACCATGTACAATTTTGCCTGTGTCCTCTGCTCAGGACATTTCAAGTTTGCAGAGGATGTGCAAGGGCAATTTATTTAAAAAGAGTGGGGTTCTTCCACCAAGCTCAGATCTTTCCTGGAATTCTTCTGCTCCATGTCCTGCCTAATCAGCTGCTGCACTCATGGATGATCAGAGTTCCTGGGTCATATTAGTGTGTTCTCATGCTGCAAGAAGGACACACCCAAGACTGGCAAATTTATAAAGGAGGGAGGATTAGTTGACTCATAGTTCACTGTTGCCAGGGAATGGGAGGCCTCAGGAAACTTACAGTCATGATAGAATGGGAAGCAAATATGTCCTTCTTCATGTGGCAGCAGCAAGGAGAAACATGGGAGCTGAGCAAAGGGGGATGTTTCTTATAAAAGCATCGTAACTTGAGAAAACTTAATTACTCTCAAGAGAATAGCATGGGAGAAACCACTCCCATGATTCAATTATCCCCAACCAGATTCCTCCCATGACCCACGGGGATTTTCAGAATTACAATTCAAGATGAAATTTGGGTGAGGACACAGTCAAATCATATGACTTGTCATTCAGATAACTGAAAAAAAGCCACACAAATGTAAAAATTACTAGCTCTCTGTAGGTGCATGTTGTCAACACTCAATAACGGTTGTCTAACTGAATTAAAGATGTCCTTTAACACTCAATTTAATAGCCACTAGTCAGAAGATGCTTTCTTGAACATCCATTTCTATAGGCCATGATCAATGTCCCTCATTCAGAAACCTCCTCAAGGCTTCCCTAACTCTTTGGGCACATGATGAGTAGAGTACTTGACAAGAAAATTATATCATTTATTTTCTTCTCTGCTGCTTCTATTTAAATCTTGATAACCTTGGAGAAAGGTATTCCTCCATGTTTAACAGAGTGACAAGTAGTTACTATTACTTTATAAATGCTGAATAAGTGTAAAAATTTTATAAGATGGAGTATTTCTAGATTTTTATATGCCATCAAGATTTACAAATACATACATAATAAATGAGTTTATAAATTCATATAAAATGTGCTTTCAAGGTCTACAGTATTAAATAACATTTACCACAAATGAATGCTGAGTATTCCAATAAAAATGCAGGACTAGAGCTATTAATGCAGATAATGATTAGAATATCACAAGAGAACACTAACTTAAATTATACCAGTGACCATAGAAAAGCAGAAAAGATGCTTATTTTTCTTCCTCTAAACTTTATTTTTTACTATTGAAGAACTCAGTAAAAGAGATCTTAAAGTAAAATAAGTCCCATTTAAATAAGAAGAAAAATCTCGACCCATTAGGAGAGGCTTTAACCACATTTCTACGTATATGAACATGGTAATTATAAAACAGTTGAGCCTTAATCTACTGTGTTATTGCCTATACCTGGGAGGCAAATGATCTATTTGAATAGAATGGCCTTATGTCCAACCATGGAGATCAGCTAAGGGAATCCAAAGCAGAACAACTCCAGTGGTAGTGATCTTTCCTGGAAAACATCTGCTGCCAGCTGAGTGTGTTTACATTTTTGCAGCAGTGGCAGATGTGCTCGCAGTCAGCCCATCTGTGTGGTGCCAGAGGCTGAAGCCAAGGAAGCTGGGCTGGACAGACAGCAGAGAATGAGGTTACTATAATATCCTTACTTGTTCTAGAAAATGCAAACTAGTGCATCATAGCACTTGTTTCTTCCTGTGCTACAAAAAAGGCCTGAAAGTTAACTGATTTGTATGTATGGCCTAGAATGAGCAATAGCTTTTAGTTGTTCGACTGCTCTTAGGAATGGAACCATGTAGGTGTGTGATCAATATTTTTAAAAAGAGAGTAATAATTTCTGTAAAAAATAATTTAAGAAATGTTTAGAGAATAAATATATCACTTTAAACATTTTTCATATTTGAAAATATTAAAAATAGTTAGTAGGTACGTAAACACTGAATAAGTATCAGCTTTTACATGTGAAACTCTTATTTGTTCTCTCTTCTTGTAATGTTTATTACATTTGTTACATTCAGAAGTGTTATCTAAAGTATGTTCTTCTGAAGATAATTTCATAGCCAAAAAAAGTACTTATAAAAGTATATATGACTTTTTAAACAATAGAATTTTCTTTCTTTATTATAGGTTCTCATCTCTTTTACTATGTTAATCTGTTTTCTAAATCTCCAAATGGGAAATGTATGGAGATGTCACACATCCTGGGCTAGAATTCTTTTGTGTTTACATGAGAAATCCTACTTTCATGATTGAATCAGAAATCAGCAATCTGGATGCAAAAAGTAAATAGAGTTATTTTTGTATTGGTATTCACTTTCTTACATAATTTGTTTATTGAGATTCTAAAAATTAAGCAATTAAGTGACTGAAATAGTTTATCTTTTAAAAATTTGTTAAGTTAGTTTGATACTTATATCTGATATTATTTTTTCTTCTCATGGGCTTATGCGTAATGAAGCTAGTTTATAGAGCAAATCATTAAGCTGCCACCTTAATTTGGAGGTTATGTTACTCCTATCCCCAAGAAAAGGAAAAATTATAAACAGAATGAAAATGATATCAACTGGGTGAGCTTAGCCATCTGCAGAATTTCAACTTTAAGAGATTTCTATAAACAGTTGCTAATGGAGATGAATAAAACACATTCAATCTAAATGTTTATGTAGGAAGTTTATATTTCGACTTTAAAATAGCTGTAATGTAATAAATTCTGTGATACATAAAGTCGGATTCGAACCTAAAGGTAATCCAGCTTGCATGAAGAAAACATAACAAGAATAGTCAGGAGCAAGAATTTGCAGTTTTTATCCAGCACCAATCAGGGAAAGACATTGACCTGGAAGTCCAGATATTCTTATTATCAAAAATGATTGTCCTATGTGGGGGCAGGAATTAGTAATTAGACCTTCACAAAGTCTAAATTACATATTATTTTTATATATCTACCTATATTTTGATCTGTACTCATTAAATATTCATCTTTTTTTTGCAGACTATTTCCCAAAAAACTTCTTGGCTGCTAAAAAAGGCAGCATCAAAATGTGATGGTTAGGGACATGGACACTGAAGTCAGTGAGTTCAAGTCCTTGTTCTTTCATTTTTGAGCTGCATGATTTTGAGCACATCATATGACCTCTCCCGTAATCTTATCTATGAAATTATAATATTTGCAAAATCTATCTCATAGACTTATTAGTATTAAATTAGTTAATACACATAAGATATTAAAAACTATGTTTGGCTCAGAGTAAGAACAATTTAAGTCTTGATAACATGTGATGGGGGAGATTCAAATGACCTGGTACATTTTTGGGTTACTATGAGCACATATTCAATCCATTTTATACTAACATTATAGGCCCTGGTTAATTGGATTTGTTTGATACAGTAATCTATAGCTAATAAAACTTGTTCAAAAACTTAGAGAAATGTACATTTTAATAAACTATCTGGAAAGGCCCTACCTAATCAAAATGTTCATCTTGACACTTCTATTTTAAATTGTAGCATGTAATATAAGGAAAAGGTGTGAATAAGGCAATTTATATTTAAATCATAAATCGTGTAGAACATTATAGATATTTAAGTATAAGGCAAATAAAAATGTATGCCAAGTTTTAATTCCAGAAAAGGTTTGTAAAAAATAGTGTATTTGGCATTGCTTAAAATAAGTATTAAAGGTGCAAAAACTTGCTAAATTTTGAAATTCTTGGTTAGGAAAATTTAAATAATTTCCTTTATTTGGAGACTTCCTAGTTCGTAATATAATACTGTTCCTTATTAATTCCAGGGAGTATTGTGGAATTATGTGAGAATGTATCAATCCTTTGCAGAGCATGTTAAATAGTAATGTTTCTCAGAATATATTTTGAAAAGGATTGGGCTATAACATAAAATAATAAGAGTAAAGAGAGGGAAAACCATACCTAAACCAATAAGCCCTTAAATAATATTTGACAGTAGGATTAAATTATTTTTAAATATTGCCTTTTAGAAAATTGCTTCAGGTATGAAAACTCATATTACAATCTGGAAGCTCTTCCATAACATCAAAAATTGAGTTCTACATGATAAGATCTGATTATAACCCCCCAAATAGCTAGGAATAACCTATTGTATTTGAATCTTTGAAAAAATAAAGTAATCATGCAAATATAAATAGCATCTATATTTATTAATTATTGTCAATGCTTCATTGTTGGTCTCCAGTAAATGTTTCAAAATTGCAGAATGCTACAGTGGCTTCTTAAAATTACAGTTAAACATTTCTGCACAAATCAATACAGAGTCTGAAAACAGACTTGCAAGTAATAGAAAGCCATGGAAGAAGATTTAAGCATGGAGTTTTTCGGAATCATCTCTGGGAAGGTAAATTGCAAACAGTATTACGTGAATTAAACAGCAGTTGAAATACTAAATCAAACATCTGCCATAGAATATGTGGTGTATATGAAGCCATTGTATCTAAAATGACCCACTAACATTAGTCAGTGGGAGCATAAATTAGATATAAATGACTGTCACTTGTGAAATACTTTATCCTCTCAACCACAAACAAATATACTACACAAAAATCATTAAGGATTCCCTAATAGTCCTGGAGTTTTTTCCTATTGTTCTTATTCCCATGCATACACTTAAAAATAAATGGTTTGCCTAATTGCCAACCACTAGGACTAAGGGGAGTGGAAAACAAAAGCACTGACAAATCTTCTTAAAAGTGATCACCTGATGTTGACATACAAAGTATAATTAACGGTTTGGATACAAGAGATAAAAGAAACAGTGAAAAAAAGGATTTAATTTATTTTACAATTTTACAAATGATAAAACAATAATACCCGGTTACTACACAGGAACAATAAGAAAACAGTGTTGAACAGAATGAACTTGACAGAATAAACCTCATCTTTCAATTCCACAAATTGTGTAAGAAATACTCAGTAGCAATTATTCTGTGCAGCAATGCTATCTCTGTAAACTCTTTTTTTTTCCTGCTATTTACATTTGAAACACTTGTGCTTTTGCCAAGTACAAATAAAGAAATGATATTTATTAAAAGGTGCTACTTAAATGAGAAACACAAGGCCTGGAGCCACAATCTGAAAACTGCAATTCGGATACATTGCTAGCTTGAAGGCTTTACTTTTCTTCTTTATTATTATTTTTAAGATTTGGACATACTAGACCCTCACTGTAACTCTACGTATGAATGACATAGGATTCAGTTATAAACTAGATACCTCTTAAAGCAGGTTAGTAACTGAAGTCACAAAAGAACTTCTTTATTCTAAAGTGGCCTTACTTATCTCCAGGGGAGTTCACAGTGCAGACCCTGAAGATGTTAGCATAACACAAATCTAGTGTGTACATATTACAGACTTAGTGTGTATACACACATATACACATATATAACATTGTATATATGCATCACACATGTCTATTTGTACTATATAGATATATCTATAGCACATATATAATAAAATATCTATTTCTAGGTGGGCCTTATTTGAATTTTCTTTCATCAGATACAAATAATAACCCTCACTCAATTTTTAAAACATTGGGATATTGATAATGTTTGATAGGAAAACTTTCAAACTTGTAGAGATGACAACTAACTATACACAACTCTTCCCATACCCCTTCCACAATTATATATACTCCCTACAATAACCACATGAAAACAACTCTTTTATGAACCAAATATCACATTATATTCATTATGTCTAACTGGCTCAATTAGAAATAAATTAATTTGTTCATTCTTTTTCTGTATAGTAGCTGAATAACTAATTGGTATGTACACTACCTCTAGCATTACTTAAATAAATTGCTTTTGTAAGCATAAATATAGAAATTCCCATTAGCAATTGATATACAATTCATATGATATACAATACATGAAGACATTTGAATGCCCAGCACCTTCTTTAAGATAGAAAAACTTCCACAGTAGTTTCATCAGTCCTGTGGGCTGAATCATTAGATTTGCCCAGAAAATCTATTACTTGCTAACTTTTATTTTTTTACAACTTAACATTAATTAAAGCACAGGCTGAGTAATAATGATAAAAATGTTTCCATGGCCTATTCATGTCAACAGCACAATAACAACCATGTTCTGTAAGGAAAGGAATATTTCACAATCAGCTGTCTGAGCATTGCCAGGTACAGGGTTAAATAGTAAAAAATAAATTCAAATATTAAAACTGAATATATGATATTTTCAAAATTAAAAGAAAACTCCAGATATTTCAAGTATGCTTTTATAATATGATTTAGTTATAATTTTTTATGCTCCCCTATTCATTAAATCTCAACTCTTTTTCTTATTCGTTAGCCTTCATTGATCTTGCCCTGTTCCTAGAAGAAGGCCACAGTAGACAGTGAAAACCAGAGGGCAGATGGAAAGGTATGCAACAAGAAATAAAATGGGCTTGTACTGTTTGTCTTCTTTGAACCCTAAATACCTTTAACTTAATTCATTCTTGACTATTGAAAGTTCCCTGAGATGAACAAAAGTAGTCTCAGTCGATACTGAAGCCCTTTTCTCATGCTGAGCATTTTTGGAAGTGGGCAGTATAATTAGGGAACACAAAGGATACCGTGACAAAGCAATGTGAAAAAGCTAAAAAGGCACTACTCAATGCATCTATGAGGCAAACATCAATGCACAGAACAATGAATGGCTGAGATATGTGTGCTGTGGCCTTAACATTGTTTAAATGTATTTATTGAAAATATACTAAAAATGGGAAGGTGTGATGGCTCACACCTGTAATCCCAGCACTTTGAGAGGCTGAGGAGGGTGGATCACCTGAGGTCAGGAGTTCAAGACCAGCCTGGCCAACATGGTGAAACTTTGTCTTTACTAAAAAATACAAAATTAGCTGGGCATGGTGGTGGGTTCCTGTAATCCCAGCTATTTGGGAGGCTGAGGCATGAGAATCACTTGAACCCAGGAGGTGGAGGTTGCAGTCAGCCGAGATCACTTCACTGTACTCCAGCCTGGGTGACAGAGTGCGACTCCGTCTCAAAAAAAAAAAAAAAAGAAAGAAAGAAAGAAAGAAAAAGAAGAGAAGAGAAGGAAATAATATACTAAAAATGGCAAGGTACCTTGCTACTGCTTTTTTAAAACATACTTGAATGAGTGCCTGGATGGATTTTACCTATAAGAAATTTGCTTGTGACTTCTAGATTTTTGTTGGATTTAAATTAAAGGCAACTTGAACAACTTAGTTGAAAGTAGTCCAAATTCAGATTTTATAAATCACTTTTAATTTGTTAAGTAAACCGGACTTTTCAACTTTACATTAAAAACTTGTGTCTAATTCTCTTACAATACCCAATAGATAAGAGGTTTAATTATAAAAGTACATCAACCTTCCATTCATTTTCAGTTATCAGTCTTCTATATGCATTATATTTTACTTATAGACACATACATTCTCAAAAGATGTAATATTCTATATCCCAAGGTTTTACTATAATTAAAAAAATACTACATGTAATTAAAAATATTGAGAACTGTACTACTGTGAATATCCTTTTCCATGGACACACACAAGCACACACGCGAGCGCGCGCATACACACACACACACTCTTCACGGTTTTTATTCATTTCTCAGACTGTTTTCCCTAAGAAAGCAAACATATATATTCTCCGTGCCATTTCTTCTTTCCTCAAATTGTCTCCCCAAGAAATAAGAAATCAAAGTAGAAGTGAGAATGCAGTGCTTCTACTTTCTAACCAAACAATCTACTATCATAGTATAAGTTACCAGAAAACTGGCCTATTGGTCAGTTCTGTTATACATTAAATTTTTAAAATTACTTTGTTAATAATTTTATATGTTTCTTGAAAAACACGTGATATTGTGACGAAGTTTAACTACAGAATATGTTGGGCAATTAAATCTATTTTAAGTGCAAAATATTGACACAGAATTTTCTTGTTAAACCTCTTGGAATTAATCATCTTTGTTTTGAAAACAATACTCTATTAAAATTGATATTTCTGCACTAATAAATTGAACAGTAATGTATAGAGCATTCCCATATTTCCATTTGAATGACAAGGGAAATATCAAAGAACTGGAAGTCACATTTCTCTATTTCAATCAAATATTTATTCTAAAGGGCAAAATGCTTCCACAAAATTATTATGTAATGTAAAACATGTGAAAGACATTTCAAATGAAAATAAAGTGTGAGTTTGGAAATTTAAAAATATTTAGAGCAACTTTCACATTAATAGCAAAATAATATATTCATGTTAAGCATATATTATTTTCAGTAAAGAAAAATGGTTTGCTGTGTAGAAACACAAGTATAATCTTTGGTACCAAAGATCTTTTTTATTCTGCCTATTTTACCATCTCAGATGACATGGAACATCTTTTCTTTAGAATGACCTAATATTACATAGAGGCACAGGTTAGCTGGTACCTTCTACACCACTGGAAAATAATATGGAGGTTTAGAGTTGTGCAAAATAAAACATTTTTTTAAAAAGTCTTTGTGTGATAGATTTCCAAAAAATATAAGAAATTTAAAAATAATTACTTAAAGTTTATTTTCCTCATTCATATGTATCTCAGAAAGGATTTCTAAGCACTCCAATACCCAAACCAAAAAAGATTCCAGAAGACAAACAAAAACATAAATTAAAACATAAAATTTGTAATCAGACTCAGAGTCCTGACTGAAGGCATGTACTTAAGTTGTTTAATCTTATGGATTTCATTGCTCAAATTGCTTCCGTCTTGGTTTCTGGTGACAAGGATGGTTTAATTTCCCAAGGACTGAGTTGTATTCCTGGGGTTTCTCTTCTAATGTGCTTGGCGTTGCTGTGGGCAGCCTGACAGTGATGAACATATTTACTTTGCTAACTAATGATGAGTGCACTGTTGGATCTTGTAAACACTACTGATTATACATTCAAACTGTATTCTTAGTGGAAGTGGCACTTACTAGGACCCTTGAAGTCAGAATGTTTAATTTTTAGAGCACTTTTCAGGTATTTCATCAGCTGGTTGTAAATTTCTCATGAACGTCCTTTATTAAGGACTTTCAATAAATTTTCAGTTAATTGGTGGGTGCTGAAACCCAGCCATGTTTTGGATCCTATTTTCAAATCTTCAGAAGCATCTTCAGAAAAGAAGTGCATATTGTCTGTATGTTTCAAAATGTACTTTATTGCTTTACACACTTTCCTGTTGTCAGTTTTAGAGCTCCTCTATTATGTAGCACATTTAATGTTTTGAATTCTAACGGCATTCTGTGAGGGCTTGCATTAGAAAAGTACCTATATTTTAAGTCATCATAGTAATGATATTTGACAGCTTTTCCATTCAAATCCTTAGGAAATGGCCAGAATCCATACAGGTGAATTTCATCACAGAATCTTGTGGCAAGTGTATACATGAGGAGACCTGTGCTGGGTCTTTTGATAGGAACTTTGTTGGTCAGCCAGTAGCTGGAAAAACAAAACAAAACAAAAAATCAAGAAGAGAAGAATTTAGAGGAACATAGAGCATATCCTATAACAATTACATGATGTAGAAAACTTAAAAGGTATCTTTATGAATAATATTTTAAAGGATAACTGAAGAAATATTTTTAAGCATTTAGAAAATTTGATGCTTTTATTTTATGTTTTCTTTAACCCTTATTTTCTTTCTTGTTCTTGAGGTCATATAAATACCCAGGGGACCTGGGATGTAGGTAAATATTACTCTAGAATCTCAACTTTGAAATGAACCAATAACAAGCATTATATAATATACAGAGTAACATTTTCTCAAAAGAATTAAATATGACTGCACAAGTCATGATAATTGGGTACAGATTAAGTAATCCTCCCAGAAAAAAATAGATGGAAACTATCGCTACAGATTTTGAAAATGTTATTACAATTAAAAATCCAAGGAAAAAAGGCTTTATCTATGTTATATCAACTGATTTACTCAGCTCCATTTTCCAAGTCACTTTTTACTAAAGCAAATTAGAAGACTTACTTCTATTCACGTAAGAACAACAGCAATAAAAAATTTGTAGAATAATTGATAGTTTACCACTTATACCATTTAACATTTTATTAAATAGGTAAAATATATTTCAATGCTTATAAGTATTTTGTAGGCAATAAAGTACTTCAAAATGTTTAAATCCATCACTGCTATCAAACATTGGTGTGAAAAGCATGCAACTCACAAATTAATCATCACCTCTGGAAGAAAGGGGGCTTCCAATACTTCTTGGCATATTCATTTCGTTAAGGACAATGATCTTTTTTGAAAGCAGCTAAAAGAGTGTGGATTTTTTCTTTTAAAGTTGTCTAATTATAAACACAAAAACTTAATATGTTTTAAAAATTATTTAGATTTTACTATTGTCTTCTATTTGGAGAGATACGTACTCTGCCATCCAAATTTAAGGGGAGTATTATGTTAGATTTGGATGGTTGCTGTATTTAATAAACTTGCTTTAGATTTAACATAAGATTATTTTCTTCTTTTCTCTCTTTTTTAAAACTATTATAGTGCTTTCCAGGAGAGATAAAATACTCCTAGAATACTGAGTATGAAAAAAACTTAAAGTGATATGTTACTTCATTTCCTTAAATAACTTTATACTTTTAAACCTCACTGGAAACATCCAAACAGGAAAAATATACTTGGCCATTATAATTCCATATTTTGTCTTTCATGTTCTCCCTTCTCCCAGTCAGGATTAGTCTTACATATTTTCTCTTTTTCTCATTTAGTGAAGGCTGTGGGCTAAATATTTTGAGCTGTATGAAATGTGTTATTAACCCGTTGATATCACAATTGTTTTAAGACTGTCTGTTATCCATAAAGAAGATTTTATAAGGAATTTTCAGAGAACATCATCTAGGAATTTTCTCATAACTCACAGGAACTGAATGAGCAAAACCATAACCTATACACTATTCACATAATGTGGAATCCACAGACATTGATTCTCAGCCAGGAGCATAGTTAAACTTCTTCGAAGACTGAAGAAACTATGATGTGGCCAGAAGCTCTCTGGGCTTTGAGAAAACAAGTGTTTTTTAACATGAAATAATGATTATGGAAGAGTGTTGTGAATGTGATCTGTGTATGGTTACAGATGTTAGGTGATTAAATTGGTTAGTTAAAAAATGTATCTATTTATAAATGTTTAAAGTAAGCTAAGCAAATTCAAATTCAGTAAAAAAGAAAAGAGTATTTCCACTAGGCAAAGTCAATGAATAGAAATAATTTGGCAGTATGAGGGTCATGCTGAGTTATTTCTAAAGTGAGAAAAATGCTGCTATACTACTTGTATGAAACTCCAAGTTCTAAATATCAATGAATGCTTTGTATTTTCTAATTCTGGAGAGATTTCTTAAAGGTTTATATAACTATGACTGCTCATAGACAAATACCAAAGCAATTTCTATATGCAATACAAATAAGTAACTACAATGTCAGAAATGCTGAAGGCGAAATTATTGGCTTACATGCTTTAAAATGGTGTCAGAGATGTGCAATCAACCTTTTTTGATACAGGGCATCTTATCAGCTATCACAAATAAAATATCACTGAAGTGTCTTGAAAATGAAACTGATTGCAAAGCATCTTATTTGAAAATAATGGGTAGAGTGGCTTTAGAAACTTTTTTTTTGGTCTTGTTCTAAATAAATAACTATATGCAGTTAAAATATTGAATTAATTTAGCTTTAGAAATGTTAACAGAAAAATTAATTTGGTGATATTTGATTTGCAATACTTGGAATAGTTTCAAAGAAAAGTATGCCATCAATATTTCAGGACATTTTTGAAGAAACAATACAAAATAAATGCCACTTATCCTATTGATTTCTAAAAAGTGTCACGGAAAAATGCATCTTAATAAATGGCATCAATATGTAACAGATAAGTTGAGAAATGCCTTAAATAAGTCAGGCCATAAGTAATAACATTCTAAAAATTTAAAAACACAGACCTGATCAAATGCAGTCTATTGGACTATATTTCGTGTTTATTATCAACCTAAGGTTGTGCCTGAAATTGTACAGGCCAGTCTGAATTATTGCAATTCAGTATTTGTCCAGTAATAAATTCTACATATAAAAAGACCAAGAATAGACATTCTTTTTAATTCTGTTAGCATAATTGGTTAGGTAATATTAAAAGGTAGAGCCCAGACTACAATTTTGAAATCCATACCTGTATGTATCCACATTTTTACAATTTGATATTTAAAAACTGCAAATTTTTATGTAGTATATCAAAAATAGATAGATTTTTAAGTTGTTTTTCATCCTCATTGGAACAAATATTAAATTGAAAATAATGCATTGATAAAATCATGGAATATTCACACTGTTTCAGTATAACATGTTCTAATTTTTACTTCAAATGTACATGTTACAGTTTAAAATTTAGCAAAATTTTAAATTCAATAATTTAGCTTGCATACATGTATTTCTTTTTCTGTAAGTTGATTTCTTTTTGAGTTATGAGATCAATGTAAGCTCCAAGTATAAAATATAAAGGTAAAAAAATCTGAGTAAGAAAAACATTACCTATAATCCAACCACATGAAGATAATTACTGCTACAACATGTGACATACTTTTCTTCTCTGGCTGATTTGGATCTTAATATATGTTACATTCATACATAGACGTATACAAATTATTTTTTATCAGAGAGGCTATGTTTTATTTTTGATATTATTAATTTCCTCTGTCGTTCCTTCCTTTCTTCCTTCTTTCCTTACCTTTTGTTTTATTATTATACCTTTTTCTGTTGTGTGAAACATTCGCTCTTGACTATATGTGTAAATAGAACATTTATAACTTTTTAATACATTTGATGGCCTCTGTAAATCTCACTTCTCTCAATGTGAAAGCTCTGTTTTGGCTAAGTGAGGTGTCTTATATTCTCTACCTCCAACACATTAGTTTCATTTCTTACTTCAAACAAACTCAAAATATGAAATGTCTCTAGCCACCAAATTTGTGTATAAATATAGAAGGCTATATTTATAGTCAGAAGATACAGCTTTGAATTTGTGATATGTTTATTGGTACTTAAGAAAGCTGTGTCACTTCCTTGGAGCTCAGTTAACAATATTTAACATAAAAAGTTGTACTTCTGTAAAAGAGATAGTAAAGGTAAAAGCTCCTAAAGCTTGACGTATAATAAGTAAGACTACTTGACTTTCAACATATCCCAAAACAATCATTCTTCAATCCCACTTCTCTCTTGGAAACTTCTGTGACTACATATTGGCTGGACAATTGTGGTCATGTCATGTAACCTCAGTGGAAATGTTTCCTTAATTGTGAAACAAACATTTAATTCTATGGCTTTGGGGTTTCCTCTATAAAATTATATTGCAGTTTCAATCTTCTCTCTCCATGAAATTGTGTGAAACATGCTTATTCCTTGTCTCCTTCCTCCTCACCATTTTGTTCTCTTTCTTGCCTTCAAGTTGTAATACATTGCAAAGTAAAGAAGGTACCTAATAAACACTTATTGCTTTTAAATCCAGTATGATTTTATATTTTGTCTCATAATAAAAGCAGATAATAATCACCTGATGAGTCAAAATACCTGATTTTTTCAAGCAACCAGGGTTTTAGAAAAAAAAGTTATATTTAACAATATTGATACTAAGGAGAGCTCACATTCAACATATTGACAGACACAAAGTATTAGTTTGTATTTATATTTAAATAAAAATGTCTAAAAGTTTAGAAGTATTACATTGGTGCAAAAGTAATTGTGGTTTTTGCTACTGAAAGTAATGGCAAAAAAAAATGTGGTTTTTGCTATTGAAAGTAATGGCAAAAACTGCAATTAATTTTATCCCAACCTAATAATCATATTTTTTCCTCTGAAAATGTTATTCTTCTTCGAAAAATCAAATGCGACAATTCTAGAAGAATTTGAAAATAGAAGATAGAATCTTACTGTGCCAATAGTTGTAATTTAATGTTATATTATAAGCAAAGTTTTTATTAATGAGCCCAGAAATTCTTCTACCTGGAATGTGAGATGAAGTGTATAACAAAATATGTCTTTATACTCTTAATTCATGAGTCTCCTCTATTTCTCCTCTCATATTTATTTTCTGATAACTGAGATTTGTGCTGATATCCCTGGAAGACTACGTCAAGTGTAAAAATATGGCTTTTGATCTTCCAGTCTAAAGTAATTTGAGATATTATAAAATAATTGGCTTTCTATAAGTAATCTTTGCAGGAAATGTCTGCACAACCCCAACTCTACAGTCACCCCAGAAAGCTAACAGAGACCATTTATGATGATATTATTTTTCCACCAAAAATCACAGCATGGAGCAAGAAAAAATATATGTGTTTTGAGATCCCATCAGTCACATTTATCAATATGTCTGTTCATTCTTATGAGGAGTATATGTGTATCAGCTATACAACATGGAACTTAAAGCGGTCAT